GGGATGCCCAGGAGGCTGCCCAGAGCCGAGCTGCTCCCGCTCCGGCGGCCGGGAACGCTCAGGATCCCGCCCGGAGCCGAGCTGCTCCCGCTCCGGCGGCCGGGGACGCTCAGGATCCCGCCCGGAGCCGAGCTGCTCCCGCTCCGGCGGCTCCCCGCGAGGCGAGCTGGAAGAAAACACCGAATATACCGAGAAGGTCCCTAAAACGCACCAAGCTCGCCTGGGCACCCCCCCACCTCCACACGCAGCGTCCGGGCAGCGCTAACCCCATAACAAGGCCTCTCGGCCGGCCCTGCCGTCCCGCCCGCCACCTCCCGCATCCAGCCGCCCCCAGAGTACCCCTGCGGCCCCAGCGCACCTGCTCGCAGCCGGAGCGGCCCCGCCGCGGCGGCACCGGCGGCCCAGAGCGCGGCCCGGGCGGCGGCCGCGGCCATGGGAGCCGCCATGTTGGCGCGCCGCGGGGCACGCCGGGAAGGCGAGCGGTGCCCGCTCCCATTGGCGAACAGCGCGGGGACATGGAGAGCGCGAGCGCGGGGCCAGAGCGCCGCTGTGCCGCGGGGGATTGTGGGATGGAAACGGCCGAGGGGCCGGCGGCGCAGGGCGGGGCGGGGACGCGGGAGCGCCCCCTGCCGGCGCCACCGCGAGGTGCAGGTGGCGGCAGCGCGGGGTCACCAGTGTCACCGGGGTCACCGGGGTCAGCAATGTCACCAGTGTCACCGGGGTCACCAGTGTCACCAGCGCTCACGGGGTCACCAGTGTCACCAGTGCCCCCAGTGTCACCAGCGCTCCCGGTGTCACCGGGATCACGAGTGTCACCAGTGCCCTCCCAGTGTCACCAGTGTACCCCAGTGTCGCCAGTGTCACCAACAGTCCCGGTGTCACCGGGGTCACCAGTGCACCTCAGTATCACAGGTGTTACCAGTGCCCCCCCAGTGTCACCAGTGTTCCCAGTGTCACCGGTGTCACCAGTGTCCCCCAGTGCTCCCCCCAATGTCACCAGTGCCCCCCCAGTGTCACCAGTGTTCCCAGTGTCACCGGTGTCACCAGTGTCCCCCAGTGCTCCCCCCAGTGTCGCCAGTGCCCCTCCGGTGTCACCAGTGTCACCAGTTGCCCCCCAGTGCCCAGTTCCCCAGTCCCGGAGCCCCCGGGGGATGTGGTGAGGAAGGAGAGCCGGAGCCATGGTTCTGTAACTCTTTTTATTGTCCTGTGCCCGTCCCCAGGGCTCCATCACTGTGTCCTTGCCATCCCATCCCGTGCCATTCTGTGCCATCCTGTTCCATTCTGTGTCATTCCCACACCATTCCCATCCCATCCCGTGCCACTCCCGTGCCATTCTCTGCCATTCCCATCCCATCCTGTGCCATTTCCATTCCATTCCTCTCCCATGTCGTGCCATTCCCATCCTATTCCCTGCTATCCCGTGCCATTCCTGTGCCATTCTGTGCCATTCTCATCCCATCCCGTGCCATTCCCATCCTATTCCATGCTATCCCATGCCATCCTGTCCCATCCGGTCCCCCCTGTGCCATTCCCATGCCATTCCCGTCCCATCCCGTGCCATTCCTGTCCCGTTCCATGCTACCCCGTCCCCTCCCGTCCCCCCCCTGTCCCCTCCCGTCCCCTCCCGTGCCATCCCGTGCCGTTCCGTGCCGTGCCGCGCTGCCGGCCGTCGGCAGAACCATTACCATTACTAAACTCAGTAATGGTAACGGTTTCCCCGCCAGCCGCGGGTCCCGGCCGTGCCCGGCTCCTGTCGCAGCCCGCGGTGTCCCCGCGCAGCCCGTGTGGCCCGTCCCGGTGCCCGGCCGTGTCGGAGGTCGGTGCGGCCCGGGGAGTACATCATCTATACTGTAGTGTCTCATAGCCAACTTACAGTATACGATGATATCCTGCCCGGGACAGCAGAGCCTGCAGGGGACGGACAGACAGACAGACGGCGTGGTCAGGAGCACAGGGCGTTGTCACCCCGGTGTCACCCTCACCCACCCCTGTCCCCTCGCTCCTGTCCCCTCTTGAGGCTCCTGGAGGCCTCCCTGCCCCAGCAGCTCCCCACACGCTCCTTATCCCCCCCAGAGCAGGACAGAGGCTCTCAGCGCTTCCCTAGCCAGGTGTCCCCCCTAATCCCTCCTTGTCACCCCGTTCCCACCACCCTGGAGAGGAGCAGAGGTTCCCAATTGTCCCCTCACCCCAAGACCCCCCTACGCCATCCTTGCCCCCCAGTCCTGCTGCCCCAGAGTGGGATTGAGGGCTCCCAATTTCCTCCCCACCACAGCACCCCCTAACCCCTCCTTTTATCCCAGATCCCCATCTCAGAGCAGCACAGGGGTTCCCAAAATCCCACCTTCATCCCCCTCTCCCTGAGCAGGTTTTGGGGTTCCCAAACCCCACCTTTGTCCCTCCCTCCCTGAGCAGGTTCTGGGGTTCCCAAAACCCCACCTTTGTCCCCCAATCCCACCCTCCCCGAGCAGGTTTTGAGGTTCCCAAACCCCACCTTTGTCCCCCAATCCCAGCCTCCCCGAGCAGGTTTTGGGGTTCCCAAAGCCCCACCTTTTTCCCTCAATCCCACCCTCCCCGAGCAGGTTTTGGGGGTCCCAAACCCCACCTTTGTCCCCCAGTCCCACAATCCCTGAGCAGGACAGCAGCTCCCAGGTGGTGGCACCTACCTGTGGGGGTGGCACTGGGGCTTTGTGGGGTGCTGGATCTGCACCCTCCTTATAAAACCTGCTCTGCCTCATCTGCATATCTCACATCTGCACTGCACAGCTGGACGGGCCCTTAACCCCTTCATGCCCGGGGGGCACCGCCCCGAGCAGCTCCCCCCACCCAGCCTGGCATTGTCCAAGGGGGGATTTGGGGATGTGGGGATTGCAAGGGGCCACCCCCTGCGTCTTCCACTCCAGAGTGGCCCCACAAATGCCCCATCCTCCTGTGGCCACAAGGATTATCCATTCCCATGCTTGTGGGGATCCTGAACTGGGAGCTCCCCGCTGCAAACTGGTTCCCAGCTGCTGGACAGTGGTGTGGGACAGGGAGGGGTGGCAGCCCGTGGGGAGGGGCCCAGCAGGGACACAGGGACATCTGGGAGCGGGGGTCACCCTACACAGGCACCCTCAGGTGAGGCACAGGGCACACGTGGGTGCAGGGAGCCTGTGTCCCCTGAGGGGGTGGCCTCTGCAGTGCTGTGTCCCCGGCCATTTTTGCTCCCCTGAGGGACATGACCCGTAGCAGCGTGTCCCAAAAAAAAAAAAAAGAGATTTGCCCTCCTGCCTTTAGGGACACCCTGGAAACACATTCCCCCTCCCAGGGGGACGTGACCCTTTCAGGGATGTATCCCCCAGTTAGGTGTCCCCAAAGGACACGCTCCCCTGGCCATCTGTGTCCCCCGGAGGGATGTAATCCCCAGCTGTGTCCCCCCAAGGGCCCCTCCTGACCACGTGTGTCCCCAAGAGGGCTGTGTCCCCTCCTTGCACATGACCCTGGTCATACTTGTCCCCTGACCACGCGTGTCCCCAAACGGCTCCACCCCTGACCATGAGTGTCACCTGCCTGTCCATGACCCTGGTCATTTGTGTCCCCCAGCCCTGTCAGTCCCCACAGGGCCACATCCTGCAGCTGGCTGTCCCATTGTGCCGTTATTTTCGCCAGGACAGGCCGGCATTCCTGGAAATCGGCTGGGGGGAGGTGATAATCCCCTGCGGGCTCGGGTCCGATAAGCAGCAGCCTCCGGCTATCAGGGACCCTGCCCTGCCACACAAGGTGTCCCTGGACCCGCTGTCACCTCTGGGCCACAGCCACAGGGGCAGCATGGCCCACACTCCCCTGGCTGGGCAGACCCTGGCCGGAGGGGGCACAGGGTCCGGCCCTGGTCTGAGCCTGTCCCGGGGCATGAGGCTCTGGGGACCTGGGGACCTGTTTTGGTCCCTCTTGTGACCCAGAGGTGTCCTGGAGCCTGTAGTGTTCCCCAGACTGTGGCAGAGGCACCTCAGCGTGCACAGCAGTGACACAGGCAGTGTCCCTGAGTTCCCCAAGCCCAGCCAGCTCCAGGTGAGTCCCAGGGGATTCTCCCCATGGATTCTCCAAATGGGATTACCTCCATGCTGGTGCCTGCCAGCCCTGCTCCCTGCTCAGCACTCGAGGGCAGCCCTGCCCCATGGCCTTGTACCCCACAGTGGCAGAAGGGGCCTGAGTGTCCCCCAGGCTGGTACCACAGCTGGTGTGGGACCCCCAGGTGCCACAGAGACCCCCGAGTGCCACAGCCCTCCCAGCAGCCGTGCTGCCCCAGGACAGCGTGGCTGGCTCCAGATAAGGAGGCTCTGGGAGCTGCAGACCTGTCCCCACCCTGTCTATCTGCAGGGCCACGCTGCAGGACACATAGGACAGGGCCTGTTGTCCTGCCCTGGCTTTGGGGGACATGGAGAGTCAGAGGGCATGAAGAAACCATTTTCCCCAGGGAGGGCAGTGCAGCAAAGCCCTCCATGCCAGCCCCATGCTGGCTGTCACTGGTCCTGCTTGCAGGGTGACCCTGAGCAGGACAGGTACCCCCAGACCCATCCTGCTGTCCCCCAGGGCAGGGACAGAGCTCCAGTGGCAGGGCAGGGGGACATGAGCTGCTGCCACCAGCCTGGCTGCTGTGACATGGCACTGTCAGCACCTGTCAGGCTTCTCCAGACCCTGGGGTGCCACTCTTTGGGGTGCCCCTGCAGAGGTCACCCCCTGGGATCACACGGGCCATGCAGTGGGGCTCACTCCTGGCTCCACACTCATCCCTGGGGGAGCACGACAAGGCTCTCCCCAGGGAGGGCAGGGACACAGAGCCCATGGGGACACGGTGACCATGGGGAAGCCACCAGCTCCCAGGAGCCTTGGAGGAGCAGCGTGAGCTGGGACCTCACCTCCCCACACTCCTTGTCCCCCCATCCCGCGGGCCAGCAGCCCCCGGCCAGCCCAAGCCACCCAGGGGAGCCGGGGACGGACAGACGGACAGAGGGACGAGCCAGAGCCCGGCAGGAGGTGACAAGGGTTTATTATCTCACAGCAGAGGGTGGCGGGCACATGCAGATAGGGCCCGGCCCGGCCCGGCACGCCTGCCCGGCCCGCGCCAGATCCGCGCCCGCCGCCTGCGGGCAGCGCAGGCCGGGCCCGATAACGCCGACAGCGCCGCTCCCCCGCCCCATGGCACGGGGGGCCAGAACCCGCCGGGGGTCACTCCTGGCAAAGGACAGCACCCGGAGGGACCTGCAGCTGCCCCATGGCACGGGGTGGGGGCACCGAGCTGGGGGGGCAGGACGCTCCCAGCAGTGCCAGGCTGGCTTCACTCACTGAGCTGTGCCAGCCGCACTGAACACAGGCACTGAGACACGCTGGGGAGGGCAGGGCCAGCACAGGGCTCTGGTGGCACTGTGGGGAGGACGGGCACACACGGGGGACAATCTCCTTCACATTGTCACAAGGCAGCAAAGCCACTGGCCATAAGAGGCAGGGGGAAGGAGGGAGGGAGGCAGGGGCAGCTGTACAGGCTGTGCTGGAGGGGCCTGTCCCCGCCGCAGTGTCCTGCTGGTCCCCCACCCACCTCTGACCACCACTCTGCTTGAGTAGTTGTGGGGTCAGAAGTGTCACAGCACCTGGGGACAGCAGCCACAGTGGCTTCACTGCCCTCTCAGGGGATGGGTAGCTTTGGCACAGCGCTACTTTTTGGTATTCGTGGTGGTGAGTTCTCACCAGGGCTGAGGTGGGCTCCTTCTGTCCCCTGGAGCTCCCCCTGCTTCAGATCCTATGAGGAAAATTCCCCAAGCATGGGAGAACGCAGCACCCACTGCTAGTGTTGGATTGTCACCTTCCTGGGTGTTGACTGCCACCCAGCCAGCCTGGGCAGGGCTGCTGGCACTGTGGGGGCCCTGGGGGTGAGACACAGGGACAGGGAGAGCCAGCCACAGGGACAGCTGTGGGCAGAGGCAGGGCTGGGACAGGGCCCAGGAGGGTCACTGAGAGAGGGCAAGGAGCCCAGGGGAGGGGGGTCCTGCTTCTATTCCTAAAACTCCCCATCCCAAGCCTCTGCTCCAAGTCCCAGGTGCTCACCCCAGGGCAGAGAACAGCAAGGCACAGGGACTGCAACACCAAGACAAGCTGCCAGTCGTAACTGGGGATGGGATTGGCCTGAGACAACACAAAGTTAATTAGAAAATAAATCCTCTCTCAGCATTGGAATAAAAAGAGCAGCAGACAGGACATGCATCTTTCTGGCCCTACAAAATAAGGCACCAGTTACAAACCAAACTCGGATTGTCTTTGATATAAAAGGAATTCCCATGTGTTGAAGGCAGTTGATGTCTGAGTGCATAACAGGGAGTGATCTCCACTAGCTTTGGGTTGGCCAACCTCATTCCTTGGCCTCGGTGGCTCTCTGGAACAGAGGAAGCTGCAGGAGGGGAAGAGAGAAGCTGTTAGGGCTGCAGGAGGGGGAGGCAGGGCACTGCCTGCACTCTGTGGTGGTCAGGGCTGGGGAAGGAGAGGCTCCCTGGGAGGCTGAAAGCTTCCAGGCAAGTCCCTGTGCCCTAAGAGCAGCTGGCATTGCCAGCTGCCAGTGCCCAGCTCACCTTTGTGAGATCCACACCAGTGATGGCACGCACGGAGTTGGGGATCTCAGCCAGGAGACGGTTCACATCAGACATGGTGCTGCCTTTCTCTCCGCTGAGAATAACGATCTCATCCACTTTGGAGAGGGGAGCAGACACTTTGGCAGCGATCTGGGGAAGCAGGGAGAGCAGAGAGTCAAGGAACTGCTCAGCAGCTCACTGAAAGGTCCCTACAGGGCCTCGCTGTGCTCCCAGTCTGGGAGCCCCCCCAGCCCACCTGGTGCTCAGCAGCTCACTGAAAGGTCCCTACAGGGCCTCGCTGTGCCCCCAGGAGACATAGCCCAGTCTGGGAGCCCCCTGTAGCAGGGGAAAGCTGCCCCCTCCTCACCTCAGGCAGTGCATCCAGCACTAGAGCCAGCTGGGCAGCTTCTCCATACTTCTGGAGCGCTTCTGCTTTCAGCTTCAGCCCCTCAGCCTCCGCCATCCCCACGGCCTCGATGACAAAAGCCTCGGCCTCGCCGATCTTGCGGATCTTTTCTGCCTCCGCCTGAGCCAGGAGGATTTGCTTCACCCTGGCAAGGGAAACGCAGCCCTGCAGCAGCGCGGATCCCCGCAGGGAGCCCAGGAGCTGGGGCTCAGGGCAGCACTGTGCTCCCTCCTGCCCAGCCAGGGCAGGGGCTCACTCACTTCTCGCCCTCGGCGATCTGCTGGATGCGATAGGCCTCGGCCTCAGCCGGCTGCTTGACGGTGGCCGTCAGCTCCTTCTCCATCCGCAGCACCTCCTTCTCCTCCACCTCGATCTGCTTCTTGCGCTCCACCACCTCGATCTCGATCTCCTCCTGACGGATCTTCTGCTGCTCCCGGGCGCTCTGGAGCTCGTAGGCCAGCTGGGCCTCTGCAGTCTGCACATGGGGGAGAGGAGAAGAGGGGCCAGGGCCATGAGGTCGGGTACACCGACATAAGGACCCCAAAATCAGACATGACTCCTGCTATTGAACCTTTTCCCAGTGGTGACATCCCAGTCCTCAGTGCTGCTCTTCCCACAACACTTAAGCCAAATCAGCTCCAGGTTCAACCCTCCCCATCCTTTCCTCTTCTCCAAGTCCCGCTGAATTGTTGCAAACAAGAGAGGAATTTGCTGCAAGGAGCTCACAGTGACACACAGTCCTGGGTTTTATATCTCCAGCTCTCCTAACAGATGCAGGAGGAGGAAGCTGACAAGTCCCAGAGCCACCAACACCATCACAGACCCTCCAGGGAACAGCAGTGGGCTGTGGGATACTCTCACCTTAATGTTGACCTCCTCAGTGAAGGAAGCTTTCTGCAACTCAAAAGCCCGTTTGGAATCTGCTATTTTGGTATCTGCCATGAACTTGACATCCAGCATTTCTTTCTTGCACTCTGCCTCCTGCAGAGAGGGAACAGAGAGCAGAGCTTCAGGACATGCAGTTGGAGCAGAAAAGCTGCTCCAGGGAAGCCCAGCACGTCTCCAGACTCACCCGAATGCCAGCATCCCGCTCGGCTTCTGCCACTCCAATGTCTGCATCCCTTTGGACAGCTGCAATCTGAGTCTTCCCCAGGGAGCTCAGGTAATCCACTTTATCATAGACATCCTGGGGAGGGAAGATAAGTCATAACCACTTCAAATGAGTGACTCCATCTTGCTCCCTTTCCCATTGAAGCTCAGTGTGGTCAGGCCAGGGTCAGAACGCATCACGTCAGCTGCTCCAAACAAACAGGGAGGGCATGGAGAAGGAGGCCATCCCGACATCCTCCCTCACTCCCAGGAGGCTGGGTTATCAGCCAGCTCTCTCCATGAGCCTGTTTACAGAGGCAGCTACCCGGGTGCTCTTGGCCCAGCTGCCAGGATACAGGACATGCTGTGGCGGCTGTCATGGAAACTCCCGCAGGGCTGGGACAGGCTGTCAGCCTGAGCCTTCCAGCTGCAGCAGCGGGGTCAGGGCCAGGCTCTCTCCTGCTGCTCCTACAGCTCTGCCTAGAGCAGTGCCCAACATCTGGGAGTACCTTGATGGTGAAACTCAGGATCTCAATCCCCATGCGACCCACGTCGGGAGCTGCCACCTCCCGCACCAGCTTGGCAAACTGGTCCCTGTCCTGGTAGATCTGCTCCACTGTCAGGGTACCTGCAGAGGGGAGGAAGGTGAAGCACTTTTTCTGGAACAGGTAACACACAAAAATGTGGGACTAAGCTCAGCAACATCCTTCTTGTCCCTAATCTCTTCAGGCCTGGGCACAAGGGCGTAATCCTCTGCCACAGCAGTGGCAGAACATCTCAGTCTCACAAGTGCAACCACCACCCACATGTGCTACCTGTGGCCCTTGGGGACTCAGACATCTCTCGCTGCAGGCACCGAAAACTCATTTATCACAAGGCCCAGCCACGCAGAGAGAGCTGCTGGAGGGGAGATGCCACCTCTGCAGGCAGCACAGGAAGGTCCCGTGTGGCTGCGTGGTGGCAGCGATACTGCTGGGACCAGCCAGCTGAGAAGGGACAAAGCCACTCGAGCTGCCTCAGGGGGTGAGCCCCTCCATACCCAGGATGGAGCGCAGGTGTCCCTCCAGAGTCTGCAGGACCACGTTCTTCACCTCCTGCACGTTCTTCCCCAAGAACTGCTCACAGGCCACAGCCAGGAGCTCCTTCTCAGTCATTATCTTCACCTAGAGACAGGAGACAGAACCAGAGGGACTGAAGGTGCCTGTCCAGGAGGTGCAGGCACCCAGCAGCAGCAGCAGCAGAAGCAGCAGTACCACCAGCAGGCTGCCAGGCTCCCGTGCTACCAAGGGACCATGCTGAGCTGTCCCCATGCTGAGCCAGGCCACTGGACCAGCCAGAGAGCCCCTGCTCTCTGTGCTGCTGCCCAAACCCAACAGCAGCTCAGCGTGGAGCTGCTCAGCAGTGGGGACAGAGCCTGGCCCTACCAGACCCAACTTACAGAAACCCTACAAAAACCCCTGAAACAGCAGTTCAGCCACTGCACCAACAGCAGAGTCAGAAGGAAGTAGGGTATTAACCACCCCTGGCCAAAACTCATTTTGTTACCTTCCTCTTCCTCCTCTTTCACTAGAATTAATTTTTCTGACCCTGAAAAGACAAAGAATGAGAAAGAGTCTGACATGCCCAAGGAGCAGCTTGGGAACAGGGGTTCCATTTAGTGCTCCCTGGAAGGAGAGATGGGACAATAAGGCCACTGGTTTGTCCTGCCTGTAGCTGGGAGCTCCCAGACATCCTTTGCAATGATCCCAGTGTGCCATGGTCAGGACTTGACTGTTCTGCTCCACATGGTCAGTCTGGTGACAATCCCCAGAGCTGGGACACAGCCACTCCAGCAATGTCTTCACCTCCCTTACACCAGAGCCAGGGGTAAAAGTGCCCCCACTCCAGCCAAGCCAGGGTCTTGGGATGGTCCTGCTGATCACAGGGCTGCTTTTTAAAGGCAAAGTGAATTACAAATGCCTGAGGAGTGTGTTAGGCAGTGGAGATCTGTGCCTACAGCACCCAGCTACAAGGAGTGCAACCCACCAAGACAACAGCTCCTGGTGGCCATGTCCAGTCTGAGGGCTCAGGCAAAGGCTGGGCACAGGGACATTCTGTGCCTGGCAGCACCAGAGAAGGAGCATGGCCAGAGCAGCCACACAGCTTTCCGGATCCTACAGCACCCTCTCATGGACACAGCTGGGCTGGGCAGTGCCTCCTGTCCCACAGGAGATGGTGGCACCCTGAGTCCTGCCCCAAGGGCCTTGGCTGGACCTGGTTCTGAGATTACCAAAGCACAGATGCTGTACAGGGGCCCTCTGAGGGTCCCCGTGCACACTATTGAGGGATTCACAGGCTACAGACCTCATCCTGATACCTTCTAGCACTTTCAGCAGCAAAAGCAACACAGCTCTTTCTTGAGAGTCTTGTCTGACAGCCCACACACACAAAATCATCCCTCCAGAGCCAAAGAGCAGCACCTGGCCCAGGCACTGCCAGAGAGCAGGACAGCTGGGACTGACTGTCATCTTCTAAGGGGACAGGAGGTGGGCCATGCTAGACAGAGTGAGCTGGCCAAAACTCACCTGCCACAACCCTGCCCCTTGCAATGTTTAGAAACACCAACCCAGGCTGACCCTATTTCCTACTGCTGCTTTCCAGACTGGGTCTCCCAGTCAAAATGTCAAACAACCTCAGGCAAGCATGGCAATCCTCTTCTGCATTGTTCCCAAAGCCTCTTGGGATAATTTTGGGGCTAATTCCCTACACCCCAGGCCAGCAGTGTGCTCTTCCCACACAAGGGGGAGTTGGGAGAGCTGCTCTGCAGCTGCACCCAGGAGTGGAAGCCCTGCACGAGGCTCCTCTCACAGCAAACAGGAGATTTTTGCAAGTACCAAAAGCAATTAGACTCAGCAGCGACATTTATGGTGAGCATCTGCCAGCAATTCCACCTCTCCAAACAATCCCCACCCTCGGGAGCTGCGGGGAGGACAGAGCACAGGGCAGGATGTTCATTAGGAGAATCCCTGTGGTACTTAGGAGCAAGGAATGATTCAGCCTCTGGATAAAGCCAGCCAGCCTCCACTGATGAGCTCTGGCCAGCCCACGGGAGCCTGGCTCTGCATGGAATACAGATCCCAACCTCCAAAGCAAAGGCTGCACAAAAGAAACCAGAGTTGAGCAATTTGTGCTCAGCGTGTTTTGCAGGGTTTCAGGCAGGGCACTGCGACACTCAAATGTCACTGCCATCAGAGGGAGAGCCCTCGGCTGGCAGGGGATCAGAGAGCCTCCATCCAGCAATCCCCTGTGCAGGATCCATGCCACCACACCCTGCTCCAGCCAGCTGCACTCGCAGTGAGGGGTGAGCACAGAGAATCCAATTAGCTGGAGGCTCAGAAAAATGCTGCAGGAGGATGCAGAGCCCAGCATGGCCTAAGGGAGCAGCATCCCAGCACATCCCAGCACCCAGCCAACATGGGAAGGAGGCTACTGGTGAGCACTCATTACATCCCTCCTCAAGAAAAGAACAGCATCCTTATGCACATTAAGCACTTCTATCATTGCAGCAAACACTTTAAAAGCTGTTTCTCTAGGAATAATTTGTTTGGGGTTTTTTTCCCTTTTTTTTTGCTCAAGCCCTTAACAGAGAAAGGTTTGCCTCAAAAAGTACTTCTGCAGAATTAAGGTAATCTCTGCCATGCACATCCCCAACAGCCTTGAGGCTGCTTTCTGTGTGGCAATTCCTTGGATCACAGCTTTAAAATTAACTGTCAGTGGAAAAAATGAACAGTGAGAAGAGAGAATAACATGAATGAGATGAACTGGGGTCTGCATTTTTAAATCAAGGCACCTGGTGATCCAGCCCTCTGCTACCAGACCATTTTGCAGGAAGGATTTCCCAAAACTAGGACAAAAGGGAATGTTGGCCTCAGAGAAACACCAAATACAGAAGGAAAAGCCAACAGATTTAGCAAAATCGTGTGAAGGGAGACATGGGTGCACACATTTTTGCCAAAGACCACTGGGGTTATGTGACACCTTAGCAGCTAAATGGATATCAAGGACTGGAAACTAAGTGAAAGATGGATATAAAGTACTGAAAAATAGAAACCAAGGGTGCTGGGTCCATGAGGGATTTTCACTCAGCAGCTCCCCTTGGGTCCAGAGCTGCCCACGGGGAATGTGGCAGCCACTTGTCCTGTGACAACACACCTGGACACACAGTGACCACAGCCCTGTGTGCACTGAGAGCCACTCTTGGTTTGTACACCCAATTGCAGAATGAGCTGCCAGGAGTAATTTTCAATCACAGCATCCAGCTGCCTATTTGAGGAGCCAAATTCCCTCAAAAAATAACATTTCCCTCCCAGCATCCTCCCCAGGGCAGGACCTGGCCCCAAGGACAGACTGTACCAGGACAGCAGACCTCAGACTCCAAGAAGTGCAGGGTTTTGGTGTGCTGCCACAAGCAGCAGAAGCAGGTTCTTACATTTGAAGAAAGCTGTAGAGAATAAAAATTCAATTCCAGCCAAAAATTTTACACGCCAGTTTTAGTGCCTGGAGGGACTAAAATATTTTTTTCAAGCTTTAACTCACCATGAAGAATTACAAGGCCCATGTGCTAACAATAACAATCCAAAGGAATATAATGCTCAGTACCATCTCAGGAGGTTATGGGTCAGTCCTGTGGGGTCACACACAGCTCCAAGGGCACCACAGCACACCAGCATTCCACAAACACATCAAGTCACCCACACACACCTCATTTGCCACGTGGACAAATGAGACACCAGAAAAAAAATTATTTTGGGGAGAGAAGGAGAAGTCATAACCCCTTTCACCACATGGAACATGCTGGAACGTGTTTGTACCAACAAGGACAATGTGATTTGGTACAAAGATTTATTCCAGAGCAGCTGGCTTCTCTCCCTGGACAACAGCAACTTCTCCAGAGGGAAAACCAGATGTAAGTTAGAGACATGCATTCCTGAAATGATGTTTTGGAGTTACTGTACCTGTGCCACACCTGTGACAGTTATAGCTACCCCCTCCGCCGTCTCTACGTCCTCACACCTGGGCTGTAACGTCATTATCTCTAGGGAAATCCTGCCAAAAAACGTAAAATATTTGCACGTTTCCAGGTTACACACACTCAGCTCTTCCCTTTGCATCTCCTGCCCCGGGCTACCTGCTGCACTCATCACAGGTAATGCAAGGCAGGCACAGAATGCAGCCAAGGGACCACATCTGTGACTGGAGACAGACAGGGCATTGTGGCCAAGAAATAGATTTTCAGATAATGCTTAAAGGTAATTTATCAGCAAAGGCTGGAATCCAGACTGGAAATTACCCCGTGGCCCTTTCCCTCCTGCTGGGTTAGTGAGGAGCCAGAAGCTGCAGCATTGAGACCCCAAAGGGCCCTCTGTCAGAGGCTCATTGTGCCATGCTGCCCAATGCCATGGCAGCACGGGGTGGTGTCACTGGTTTGAAAGCACAGCACAGAACTGGGATGCTCCCACCCACCTCACATGAATGCTGGTGCTTGGCAGAACCTGACACTGATGCTGAAGAAGCCCTGGGTTAGCCCTACACACACTTACCCCCTGAGCTGGTTCACCTCTCTCTCTATTTTTCCAGTGTCCCGTGACCCAAGGATGGAAATGAGTCTCCAGCTCTTTATGGCTACACCTGTAGAGCATCAGGCACCCAGGAACAGATCCTGCAGCTCCAGAGCTGTCTCAGTCACCCCAGGTGGGCTCAAGGTACTTTGGTCAGTCCCAGCAATCTGCTGACAGGTCACAATTTGGTAAAACAAGGGACATCTTTGGCTGTGACAGGTTGTAGAAAGCCAAGCCTGGCTCCTTTATCAGCCATAACGAGCCAGAAAGACATTGGGAGTCAGGACAAGGAGCCACGGGGCAGAGAGTTTGTGTCAGTGAACATCAGGTCAAACATCTGAACCATGAAGGGGCTGCTGTGTGCACGCTGAGTTGCTCCAGGATTGGCTGGAAGTGCTGAAACCTATCCCTGCAAGTTCTGCCTGCCTTGGCCACTGTCCTAATTAAACTGGCACGCAAACTGGGAGCTGATAAAACACATCCCACTGTCCAGGACATGCACAGGCATTTCTTGCCATGTGTTCACAGCTTTAATCAGATACTGCAGGATTTCAGCCTTCTGAAGGCCTAATCTAGACTTGGAATTTAATTTCCAAACTGTGCTGCTTCTTAGTTCTGCTCACTGGGATATTTAGTCATTACTGGTGCATAATGCCAGTCCTGTGTGCTGCAACTCATCTGAGGTCTCTGTGCTGTATTTTCAAAGGCGACAACATCCAAAATGGGCAGTGTCTCCAAGTGGAGGAAGAAGGGCTGAGTGGGAATCCATAGCCAACACTGCAGAGCCAGGCACAGTTGCAATTTTGAAATGGCACAAAACCTGCCTTCCCACCTGTCCCAAATCCTGTACAGAATCCAACCTGGCCTGTCTGTGCCTCCACACAAAAATGTGCCTCCAGATGCCCTTCTGCTCTCCCCCAAGCCCCCAGTGGAGACAGTGCTGGCAAGGAAAGGGTTACAGCAGGAGCAAATGTTAGGTACAGCAATCTGAATTTGGAATTTGCCAGGAATGCACCTGCCTGCATTACCTATGAACTGTGGAGTGCCACAGGGCAAGTGCTGGAGAAGGGGAAGGAGAGGAGAGTATGGAGATTTCAGCTGTCCCACTAGAAAACCATTAGTTTTTATGTTATCCTGCTGCTGCTGCTGCTGCTGAAACCAGAGGGATAAACAGTTAGACAGTGTGTTAGGAAGCTGGAGGATTATTACCTGTGCAACCCCTGTTACGTACAGGGGGACCCCCTCCGACGTCTCAACATTCTCGCAGCGACAGAGGATGGTCAAAACCTCCAAAGACACTCTGAGCAGGGAGGAGTAAGGGTAGGACAGCAAATACACAGAGCAGTTACCAGAGAGTAAGACACTCGTTGCAAAGGACAGACGAGACTTTCAGGTTTCAGCTTTTCCCTGGTCAGTTTGCCTTTCTCCCACTCCCAGGGCTCCATAATCAGCTTCCCTGGTCATGGGAGGGAGTTTACAGCATCCAGCAGTTCCTTTTAATGAGGATAAACAGGCTGGGGGCTTGTCCCCCCACCCTGCACATCAAACTGTTCCATCCTGGTGTCAGCTGGATGAAGATTACTTCAACTTCTCTGTTGAAGTAATCTTTGCACACAGAAAAATTCCTTTTGGTAATAATTCAGATGCTTCTATGTCAGTATTTAAGAGAGGACAGATAAAGGAAAACACCAGGGACCTGGCTACTCACCCCTGGCTAAGGCACTGAGGAGAGAAGCTGCTTCCAAGTCCTGTCCTGGGAAGCTGAATTAACACCATTTGGCTTCCCCAGAGGCATATTAGACCACACTGTCTCTCTCACTGCTTTTATTTCTGACCCCTAAACAGGGACAGCATTTTTTCCCCTTGTTTTTCCCCAGTGCTCAAGGTTGCAGCAGGATAAGTGCCCAGCACCCTGCCAGTTCTAACTGTTCCTTTTGTTCCCAGGTTAATGCTACCTGGCGGGATGCCGCTGACAGCAACACAATTGCTCCTGTCTCTCTTGCTTGCAGCACTGGCAGTTCCAGAAAAAATGTCCTAATTTCAGAGAAGGAAATCTGTCTCACTCTTCATGTTAATGCAGCGGGCTCCATCTGGGGCACAGCTTATGGCAGGCAAGAAAGGAGAATTAAGCACCACATCCCACGGCATGAAGTGGTATGGATTTTAAAGCAGAAGGTTTGCTTGGATGCTGGAATTCCTGTCAAGAGCCCCATTTGCTAAATAATGCCCAGACCTCTATCACATAACAGCTCGTTCCTGGCAATCCAGTTCTTGGCCCTGGATTCAGCCTATCCTTAACTTAGTAAATCAGCCTCCCAAATGTGTCTGATCTTGTGCACTGGGCAGGTCAAGGTCCTGCACTGCTTTTTGTCCTTCTCAGAAGAAGAGGAGAAGCAAGAACCATTTGTTCAATTAACAGTTCTCCCAACAAGATGTCTCACAAAATTTGGAAGTGAAGCTTGTCTGGCTCAAACACAGCCCTTAAACACTGAGCCCACAAGCTGGGCTTTTCCTTCCTCTCCCACCTCCCATCATGTGCAGAGTGAGGGCAGCCACACGCTCACTTTGCTGGTGGCAACACAGGTACAGGAAAAAGAGGCTGGAAGAGGCTGTAAGGGTTAACTACAACCTCTAGCCATCACTCAGTGTAAAACTCAAAAATCACGTCTTTGTCCTTTTCCCTGCTATTTTTTTTCACAGACAGAGGAAACCTGTATCAGTGAGCATGAGGGATGCTTTGGGAGGGAGCATTCCTACAGATCCCAGAGACAAAGAGCTCTGTTAGCAGGACAGCAGCACTACCACAGCATGTCAGCTCAGAGAGCAGACTGTAAGCAGCAGCAAGCAAAATCCACGGCTGAGGAAAGGGAGAGAAAGGAAATCCCGTGGTTTTAGATTGGAACAGTCTGCCCCCAAGGTGACAGCAGTCAGCAGGATCTTTACAGAGAGAGACCTGAGGAGCAGAGGGGGGCACTGGTGCACTGCAGGCCATGAACTGGTTTGTTACTGGGTGAGGGGTTGGGCCATACTGGGCAGAGCTTGGCTCCTCTTGTGGACATAGAGGCCGTTTGAAAAGCACTCCAGCTGAAAGCATGTGATTTCTTTTTTTGTGTGTGTCTTTTGCACTGTGGCACTCAGCTGTCCCCATGCCAACAGCCAGCAAAGAACTCCTGATGCTCATCCCTGGTTTCATACAGTGCCTAATCCAGTGCTCCTAAAAATACTGCTGACAGCCCCACTGGGACAATTTTGCCAAATTCTCACTCTAAAAGCCCACAAATAACAGGGGTCTCCTTACCTTTGGGTGTCAGTAATGCACCACCAAGCCCAGGCCCAGCCTCCATACACATATTGCTTCTCATCAGAGCCACAGCAGCCACCTGCAGCACAGCAGAGAGCACAGAGACATCAGGATTACACACAAGCACGTGCTCTTGGACAGGGAATAACTTATAAGATGAGGAGTTCCTACTCTTCCTCCTCTCCATAAGCTTCACACGTTTTCCCAAGGCAAAATTTTGGATTGGGAATTTTTTGGAATTGTCTTATGAAGTTGGAAACTAGTATTTGTATAATTCACTATGACCAACAGTAACACACAGAAAGGGACTGTATGTCAAACCAGGGCTTTATTTTAGTTTTGTTAAGCCCTTTTAGCAACCAGAATCAATATCAGTATCTTCAACTGTGATGTTAATTGCTTTGGAAAGCTACATATGAAATCCACCTCCTTTCCCTCACACCATCCTTAAATTCCCACAGAAGCTCTCAAATCAGCATTGGAAGAGAGAAGAACCTTTGAGCTCCCAAAAAATACCTCCTAATTCTGGCTTGTGCAAGTAGCACAGTGTCTGATGCTTTGATGGTCCATCTCAGAGCTGGATGTGCCCAAGGTTCAGGCAGCCTCCAGAACCCTTCTGACACATTTAAGATTTGATCCCAGTGAAGCTGGAAGATGCTGTCTGGATTTTCATATCTTTGATTTAAAGAACAAGACACCTGCTGCCTTTCAAGAGAGCACCCTGGCAGTGATCAGATCCATGGCTGGGAAGGGAGGAACTCTGCAGCTCGCCGGCTCAGACCAGGGCTGGGAGCTGCTGACTCTCAGGCAGATGGAGCCAGAATTCCCTCTCTCAGCTGCTCTCCATAATCACTCCTACTACAGCAGTGCCCGAGGGCCTCAGCAAGGCCAGTGCTGTACAAACAGAGCAGCAGACAGTTCCAGCCCTGCAGGATAGATCTCTGCTGGCAAGACAGAGCCGCCGCAGAGGAAGAGCAGGAACGCAGAAAACAGAGTGGCTCTGGGAGCTTTGGACTGTGGGAGGGGAAAGGGACAAGGAAGAAGCCAGCAGCCCTTTCAAGAGGAATGACCAGTATTGTTTGCACAGGTCAAAATGAAGAGCAGAAGCAGCACACATCTAGGCCAGCGTGCCTGCAGGGCCCTCCGACTGCAGGAGGGGACTGTGTCCTCCTTGTTCTCCTCCTCTTCTTGCTCCTCCTCTTGCTCCAGTTCCCTGTCATTTAGCCATCTTCTGCCTACTTCCAAACACTGTCTGCTTCCAGACACTGGCCACACACTGCCTGCTTTGCTGGCTTCCATGCAGTGTTTGACAAACCAGCAGATCTGCCCCATCTACAATTCTTCACCCTTGCATTTCAGTAAGAATTAAACACAAATAGGAAAAGGGTTTACACACTTTTTCGGATCTCCTGTGCTGCACAGCCTAGAGGAACATTCTCCTGTCACCTCTGAGCCAGCCTTTGGATAGCTTTTTCCTGTAGCTGGAAGGTTATTTCAGCCAGGCAAGCGTTACAGAAGCTGATGATACAACATCCTGCAGTAACCACAATGCCTTTAACATTTCTTGGAGGGCGTCAGCCTGGTTAGCTCAGCCTTTCAGCCAGGCCCTTGTTTTCCAAGAACAGGAAGGGAGGTGTTCCTGGCACTCAGGAAAAGCAGCACCACATGGAAAGGTATTTTATTTCCCAGGGTCTATGTGGTCTTTACTGAGCCTCTGTTAATTTTTTTCTCAATAATATCCTGAGAAAGCTCTGCACCCTAAACCCACCATTGTTACAGGAAAGTGCCTCTCCACACAGATGTTCCTCTTCTTCTGTAGGAAGTGCAAGGAAATACCTTATTTAGTATCACACACAAAATGAGCTCCACATTTGCTTCCCGGTGCTACACAACACAGCTGCAGAGCATGGTCTACTGAGCTAGATTATATGTCAAAAACTGTTCAAAGCCTAAAAAAAAAACAGGGAAAACTAACACATTAAGGAGGAGTGGGATGCCAGCCAGCTGCTTTCATGCATGCTGGACGTCTGAGCGCAGCAGAGCTCCGTCCTGGCAAGGCTGAGGAGCTGAGGGCTCATTTTCCATGGCAGTCCTGCCGCCTCTTTCTCAATTCTCCGGCAGCAAGTGAAAAAGGAACCAACAAAGCAAAATCTTTGCAAGGCTAAAGAATAAACCCTCTTGCACAATGAGATTTGGCAGAGAAATTGCATTTCCCAGCTATAATACGCCCACTGTTCCAGCAGACTGGGTCTCACAGTGGCTTCCACAAACATCCACCGTGCCTCTTCCGGGGCAGTGTGCAGGGCCACAAATGGAGGATTCATAGCCAGGGAGCTGCCAGCCAGCTTGGCCTCTTCCCAGTGAAGGGCTCCCATGTTCAAGCAAGAATTCCCAGAGCCAGGAGAAAGCACGTTGTCTGTTTGTTTGGGGTTTTTTTTATTATGAAATAAGATTAATCGCTTGGGGGTTGGTACATAAAAGGAGCTCTCAGCAGATGCAGGAAGTGAGCAAGGAAGAACATGAGCCTCAACAGTTTTGGGGACACAGGGCTCAAAACATCAAAGCTGGGATGATCTGAACAAGCTCTGTGTTGTTTGTTCTCCCAGGTAACTCGGGCACTGAGTTACCTCTCTGGCAGGAAGTGGTGAGCTTTCCAAAATCAGGTCATGGTAAACAGGCTGCTGAGTGCAGACAGACCAGGAAAAAGGTGGTAATTGAAAACAGTTACTGACAAAAGATAATGCAGAGATAGAGGAAGGCAAAAGCATACATAAAGAAAATCACATCCTAAAGCAGGGCCCAGACTAAAGTCAGTGTGTGGTTCTTAGGCCTCGCAGTGTGTACAAATTAGGATTTGTTCACATACAGAAATGGTACAAGGTTAACAAAATTAATTTAAAAAGATGCAAGGTTGTGAGGTGAATCCATAAAAGACTCTGATGGTCACTCCAGCAGATGAAAGCAGATTACATTGGCTATCTTGTTCTGGATGTAATTTATATGAAAATGACTTAATGAGTAACAATGCTATAGAGTGAGTTTAAAAACACATTTAATAACTCATAAACAGCAACTCAGAGAAGCCAAACAACAATGAAGCTACCCAACAAAATCACTGAGGTACTACCCCAAAATTCCTTTTGGAAACCAAAAGGAAAGGTCTGAGGCTATTGTGCACCTCCTCCTAACAGGCTTTCCAAAGAGTAGTTTGCAAGTCCTGCAGATTGAAGGGTAAGGGCCCTTCTGAGTGCTCCTGACTCGAGACCAGCTGCAATGCTGCACTCTCAGCAACCCCTGAGCATCACAAAGACTGAGAAACCAAGAGTGAGGAAACAGTTTTGACTGGCCAAAATGACAAACCAAAATCTGCAGGAGCACTCAGTTAAACCTGGCAGATGACCACCAGTGCCACTGCAAGCTTCCTGCATGGCTTGCCTGGTGCAAGAGGTGGAACACCCCAACCACAACCCTGCAAAACAGTTTGAATTGAATTAACTGTATGAACATAGGGCAAAACCTCCTGAGACCCAGCTGAAGCTGCCTGCTCCTTCCCACAAGTTCCTATTTCTTTTGAGGCTGAAAAACTGGAATTACACCATCAGTGTGAGGGTTCAGGTGGCTCTTGCTGAGCCACCACATCTTTCCACAGGACATGGCCTGGACCTTCTTGTTCCATTTTCATGCAATAGACTCTTCTCACCTAAATGTAACTTCTACATTTCTCCTTCCAGAACTGCACTGGGTTTTGTTCAGCCCATTGGGTCAATTTCTAGAGTTTGTTTTGATTCTGATCCAGCTCTTCGAAGCTCTCGAACCCATTCCCAGCTCAGTCTGCAAATTCAATAAGCACATACTCAATTCCATTATCCAAGCCAAAACAAGGAACTTACTTGATAAATTCTTTCAGCTGAACAGTGAGTTACTGTCAAGTTTCCTGGCAATGGTCTTCCAGGCAGTTTCATATTAATTTCATAATATCTAAGAAACCAGTTCCTTCTTGCACCGTGGACTTATGTAGGTCTCTTACAGGAAGGGCTTCAAGAACCTCAAGAAATTTTTATTTCAGGCTTTCAACTTCGAAAAGTAACATGAAAATAGCACATGAGAAGTTCTTGAAGGGGTAAGAGGGATGCAGTAACAGGATGGAAGAGCTTAGAGCAGCCCTGGAAGGGTTACACACCCCTGACTGCTGCCATGCAGCAGGAAATGTCTACACAAGACTAGAATTAACTCTTCTTTTACTTTGGCAGACATAAAGGAGCCCCAAAGGGTGTTGCACCAAACTGAAATTTGAGAACCTGGGCTGGAGCATATTTCTCAAGCTGATTTCTGCTCACCTGAGGAGGAACCAGATTAGCTGAACATGGCAAATACCTCTACTTGTCTTCTTGTAGGTGTTACAAGCAACATGCTTGTCTCAGTAGTCTCCTAGGAGATAAAGTTGGCTTGGCTGGATTGCACTCCCCTGATTTTTTTCCTCCTTTCACTCCCTAAACTTTTGCTCAATTAGCAGTTTGTTCTGACACAGGAACAGGGAGGGCTGTGCCCATTTCCCCTGTCACACATTTCCAGGTGTTCCCCTCAGAGCTCCTCTGCTGCAGCCCTTGCCAGCCAGAAGGAAAATGCTTCAGCTGTAGAGATTTAGGCAACACTGTTTGGTAACTGCTAGATGAATATGGCCACCGTAAATGCAGATTTCATTATTGTGGCACTGTGGAAATATCATAGCGCTGCATTTAAAATCAGCAGGTCGACCCACAGCCACAAAAAGCTGCATTTAACCAGACTGTAACCCAAACCCAGCATTTCACAGCCTGTTTGGCTGGTGGGAACATTCAGATATGGGGATGAACAGGTACTTTGTGTACTTCCCTGAAAACTCCACCAGCTCCAGTTGTGCTCAGTGATGTGCCAGGCTCCTGCCAAAGCCTCCTCAGTCCTTGCACCAAGGGAGTCTCCCAGAAAAGTCAGACCCACAATTTGGGGAGAATCAAGGCTCTTCCTTACAAATCCTGGGCTCCACAATTCACTGACAGATCGATCAGCAGTGCAGTTTCTTAGAAGGAGGTCGGTGCTGCTCAGCAGGGGAAGGACAGCAGTGCCTGAGCTGTGCCTGGGAAGCAGCTTCCCAAATAAGGCTGCAAAGCTCCACATTCCCAAGGCACAGCTGGCTGCTTCTTGAGCACTGGAGGAACTCAAGTGTCTCACAAGAAAGTGAAAAGAAAGAACAACCCTCCTCCGAAAAACCCACATGCCAGGGGAGGCCCAGGACTAAAGGCCAAGGGGCACAGGCTGAGTAAAGAAAATAAAGAAAACCCTCCCACCAAGTGAAATATCTTTCAAATAACTACCATATGACAATTCAAGACTGCATGCCAAAAGACTGCCTCTAATAATATTTGGTTTATTTAAATTAATTTAACTAAAATTTATTTAACATTATTTTGGCTTATTAGTAATTATTATTAGTTTCTCCTTCCCTTCCCCTCTCTCCCTAAATCCTTAAACTTAGTATCACACAAATTAATGCTGGCCCATGAGGTCCTCCCTGCTTTTCCCAGGAAAAAAGTGGCTCAAGTTCCTGGAATTTCAATGGCTTGTAGCTACAAGCTCTCACTGATGCACAGGGGCACAGAGGAGCTGCAGGGCCAGCAGAGCTCCCAGTGGGTGCCCTCAGGATTCAGCAAGGATCTGCAGACTATTGGGCAGCAGCTGAGGAAAACCAGCCTGGTGGCAGCTCCAAACCCCATTCCAGCTGGCAGAACACGGGGTGATCTCTGCTCCCTTCCCAAAACACAGCTGCACTTCCAGGAGTGCCCTGGGCTCGCCACTCCTGGCTGTGGAAAAGCACCACGCCTGGAACTGCAAGCAGATGCCACAAATTCCTGCTGGCTCATCCTGGAAGCTGTGTTTGGTAAACTCCAGAGCTGAGCAGAGGCAAACCAAAGCTTTGAGAGTAAAGGGCATCCCTTTAGTGCTCAAAAAGCTCCAAAGCACACCTGGAGCACAGCTTCTCAACCTTCCCATGAATGTGGCATTTCACCAAGCAGCGCCAGTTTTGACAGGGTTCCCTTTGGAGGGAAGCACAGCATCAGCTTTGGATCCCACTGGGAACTGCAGACCAGGATTTGCAGGGAATACTGCTGCTCTGGAGAGCTGCTGGGTGGGGTTTGTAACTGCTTAGAAGCCAGCAGCAGAGTGGGTATATTTGTTTCCAGAACTGCAGCCTGCTTCTGGCATCTCCTCAAGAATTCCCGTAACAGGTCTGTCATCCAAGAGAGATGAACTGATAACAGACCAACCACAGCCTGCTGGAGGCTTTGGCTCCAAAACCACAATAACATAGTTGCAAGCATGGCAGAACTGTGACTTGAGGCACAGCCTTGATGTTCACATGCATTTTCTACCGGTGCCCATTACCTTGCAGCTGGCCTCAGTCTGTCAAAGAGTGAAGCTCCCAGCCCTCGCATCACCTAACAATAATTAATTCACCTAATAATAATAACAATGAATTAATTATAATCCTGTCCACGCCAAAGTGCAGCCTGGAGCTTCAGCAGCACTGAAGCAGCTACAGGTTGGATCAGACATGGGGGATTTCACTGCTGGTTTGTTTAACCCCAGCTCAGTCACCTCAGTCAGCTGCTGGTGACATTCCACATGTCCAGTGGGCATCACCTGCATCCAGTGCCAGCACCACTGAGAGTCAGGGGATGTGCTGGTGAGGAAGCTGCAGCCATCACATCAGGGGATGTGATGGATGAAGATGGGCACTGCAGGGACACCCTGCAGCGCTCTGCCCCGGGGGGATGCTCACCCCCAGCTCCCCTTCCCTGGCCAATCCAGCCTGTCCCCAGGAACAGGATGGCTTCCTGGCAATGCCACCTGGCAGCCTGTCTGAGCTCTGCTGGTGCCAGTGCCTGACACCACCTGGAATCAGCAGCATCCGAGGTGCTGCTGCTGTGGCTGGACCCCACCCCGGAGCCCCAGCTCCATTACAGCATCTCCCACCTCCCTGTCTATTCCCAAATCACTCAGGGCCTCCCTATGACAGGGATCCCTCCTAGAACCCCTCAGAGTGCCCTCACAGCCAGGACCCCCCAATTCCCCCCTCCTTGCACACCCCACCACAGAGAACCCCAACTCCCACAGGCTCTCTCCATGACACTGTCCCCCTAACAGGGACTCCCCTGAGGGTCCCCTCACAGCCAGGACCCTCCGATTTCCCTCTCCCATGGGCTCCATCACAGAGTTCCCCCCAGTGATCGAGACCCCTCAAATCGCTGAGAGCCCCCTCTCATCCAGGACCCCCAAAGCCCCCTCCTGGCACACCGCATTAGAGACCCCCCCCAGTCCCTCAGGATCCTCCCATGACAGGGACCACTCAAACCCCTGGCAGTCCCCTCACAGCCAAGACCCCCAGCTCGCTCAGGGTGCCTTGCATGTCACCCCACAGTACCTGACACCACCAGCGCCTCGTTGGGCCCCACCGTGTGGCAGTTCCCCATGACGGCCCCGCCGCCGACCGCCCCCACAATCCCCCGCGCCTCGCACGGCGGGGGCGCGGCCCGCGGCCGCCGCCATCTTGGGGAGGTCGGTGCCACACCCCAGGGGCGGGGCCGGGCCGGGCGCGCCGCCATGTTGGGCGCAGCGTGCGCGGGGGGTAACATGGGGGTCGTGCGCATGCGCGGTGTGCAAGGGAGGGAGGTGAGTGTGCAAGGGGCCGAGTGTGACACTGCCGGGGTGTGCGAGGGATGGGTGTGTGACACTGCCGGGGTGTGCGAGGGATGGGTGTGTGACACTGCCGGGGTGTGCGAGGGATGGGTGTGTGACACTGCCGGGGTGTGCGAGGGATGGGTGTGTGACACTGTGCGAGGGATGTGTGTGTGACATGTGCAAGGCAGGGTGTCTGTGACACCGCATGGGTGTGCGAGGCAAGGGTGTGTGTGACACTGCATGGGTGTGCAAGGCAAGGGTGTGTGTGACACCGCATGGGTGTGACACCGCATGGATGTGCGAGGGATAGGTGTGTGACATGTGCAAGGCAGGGTGTGTGTGACACTGCATGGGTGTGCAAGACACTGCATGGGTGTGCGAGGGATGGGCATGTGTGACACCGCATGGTTGTGCAAGGCAGGGTGTGCCCTGCAGTGTGTGTGCAGAGCCAGGTGTGCCGCTCTGCACACCCACACCCCCTCGCACACTCACTCACCGTCCCCCTGCCAGCTCTGCCGCGCGCTCAGGCTGCGCTGGGCGTGCAAGGACGGCTGCCCCGGCCTCCCCCCATCCCACACCCACAGAGCACCCCGCGCTCCCTCATCACCTCCACCACCTTTATTGCGCCGTGCCAGCAGCAGGGCCCTCCCCGCCGTGTCCCCCGCCGTGTCCCCCGGCCGCCCCCAGCCCCACCAGGCACTCGCTGCCGTCCCACAGCGCCCGTGCCAGGCGGTCGTCGCGGCCCGCTGCCCACGGCGCCCGGGGCCCGCGCTGGGTGAAGTAGCGGCCGCTGAGGGGCTCGAGGCTGGGCCGCGTGGCGCAGGCCAGCACCGCCCGCGCGCCCTCGGCCGCCTCCAGGAACAGCAGCCAGGCCAGCGGCAGCAGCAGCGGCTTCAGCCACGGCGGAGCGTGCCGGAACAGGGAGGTGTTGACGAAACCTGCGGGAGATCGGCACGTGTGGGGTGCGTCCCCCTGTGTGTGTCCCAGTGGATGGGCAGGGGGTGTAGCTGTGATATTTTGTGGAAAATGCTTTGCTGGGGTTTTTTCCCTGCTGAGGAGCATCAGGAAGGAAATGTAAACAATAACTCTCTGCTGCTGTGGGATGCAACAGGTGCAGCTGTGATTGGGGCATGTTGGTTGTTTCTGATTAATGGCCAGTCGCAGTCAGCTGGCTCGGACTCTCTGGGACTCACGAGCCTTTGTTATCATTCCATTCCTGTTCTTTCTAGCCTTCTGATGGATCCTTTTCCCTCTATTCTTTATAGTATAGTTTCAATATAGCATTTTAATGTAATATATATCATAATATAATAAATCAGCCTTCTGAAACATGGAGTTAAGATTCTTGTCTCCTCGCACAAAGCATCAACCATAAGGGTGGCCTTGGCATGTGCAGCATGGCAGTGATTGTCCCCATGCCTGTCCTGGCTGTGCAAGGCCAGGGTGTGTGGGTGTGTCCCAGGCGAGGGCAGGTGCAAAGTGAAGGGAGAAGAGGAAAAAAAGGAAAGAGGGGAAAGGAACATGCAAAGGGACACATGAAAAAGGACACGCTGTGCAAACAGATGTGTTGTGCAAAGGGACACTGTAAAGGGAACACGCTGTGTCAAGGAACAGAGCGCAAGGGGACAAGGTCCAAAGGGACATGCCAGGATAAGGGACACGCCATGAAGAGACACTGTGCACAGGGACACACGCAAAGGGACACTCCATATAAAGGGACATGTGCAAAGGGACACATGCTAAGGGACACTCCATATAAAGGGACACGTGCAAAGGGACACTCCATATAAAGGGACACATGCTAAGGGACACTCCATATAAAGGGACACATGTAGAGGGACACACCATATAAAGGGACACGTGCAAAGGGACACGTACAGGGACACACCGTATAAAGGGACACGTACAAAGGGATGCACCATTTAAAAGGACACATGCAGAGGGACACACCATATAAAGGGACACTTGTAGAGGGACACACCATATAAAGGGACACGTGCAAAGGGACACGTACAGGGACACACCGTATAAAGGGACACGTACAAAGGGATGCACCATTTAAAAGGACACATGCAAAGGGCCACACCGTGCAAGGGAGAGACGCTCCCCGTGCAGGAATTCCCTGTGGAAAGGCCGCAAAGCAGGCCACCGCCCCCACAGAGGGACCCCAGGGACACAAGGGTGTGCAGATCACGGACCCCAGGCGTGAGCTGGCTCCTACCTGGGTGCACGGCGTAGCAGGTGACCTGCGTGCCCTGCTCGCGCGTGGCCAGCTCGCGGGCGTGCAGCACGTTGGCCAGCTTGCTGTCGCAGTAGTCCTGGAAGGCGCAGAAGAGCCCCGAGGGCGGCCGGCCCAGGCGCTCGGGACGCAGGCGGCCGGCGCAGTGGGCGCTGGAGGCCACGATGACCACCCGGCTGGGAGCGCAGCTCCGCAGCCGCTCCAGCAGCAGCCGGGTCAGCAGGAAATGGCCCAGGTGGTTCACCTGGAACGCCAGGCTGAAGCCATCCTCCGTCGTGCCCCCGGCGCTCACCCCTGCGGAGTGAGGAGGCAGTGGCAGCCTGTGGTGCTGCCCCGGGGGTGCTCAGGGGGTTTGGGGTCCCGGCACTCACTCACCCGCGTTGTTGATGAGGAGGTGCAGCTGGGGCTCCTGGCGCAGGAAGGTGCTGGCAAAGGCTCTCACTGAGCGCAGGCTGGCCAGGTCCAGGTGCATGAACAGCACCTCGTTGTTCCCTGTCTCCTGTGGGCACAGCAGGGGCTGGGGCAGGGCCAGGGGCCGAACCGGGGCTGTGCCCTGCCCTGGGTGGGGGCCAGAGCTGGCCAGGGGCAGGGGGATGCTCTGGGGGCTGGATCTGGCCCAAGGGCTACAGTGTGCTGGGACCCCCAGCGTGGGAGGCCGCAGAGGTACAGTGTGCCCCACCTTGGAGGATCTCGGGGTGCCTGGGATGTGCTGTGGGGGTGTAGAGGGGTTATTCCTGGCGTTTGCCACGGGGTACCTGTATGCACCCGCGGGGGGGTTTTGGGGGTTAATCATGTGATGCTTAGAGATGTCCTGTTGTGTGTCTTGGATGGTGTGCTGGGGGTACCCAGGGATGTCCTGGGGGACTCATGGGCATCTCTGCGCTGCTGAGGGATGCCACGGCAGTGTCCTCAGGGACATGGAGTAGCTGGGGGTGTTCATGTGACATCCATGGATGCCTCACGGAGGGTATCCCGGGAGCGAACTGGACTCGCCCGCTGGGTGCCAGGGGTACCCTGGAGGTGCCAAAGGGCTCGGGGACGTCCCGTGTGTGGGAATGCCGGGGGTTCCCGGGGGTGCCGGCGCTCACCCTGCGGATGCGGCTGGCGGCGGCCTCTCCGCGCCGGGCGCTGCGGGTCGCCAGGATAACGCGGGCCCCGCACCGGGCGAGCTCCAGCGCCGTGGCCGCGCCGATGCCGCTGCTTCCCCCTGCGGAGCGGAGCGCGGGGCTGAGCGGGGGCAGGGGCCGCAGCGGGGCCCGGGGCGGCTCCCCGCCGCTCGCTCACCGGTGACGATGGCGGTGCGGCCGCGCAGCTCGGGGAGGCCGCGGGGCCGCGGGGCGCCGCGCAGCCCGTGCCGGAGCAGCGTGTAGAGCGCCAGCAGCAGCCCCACGAGCAGCAGCGCCCACCCCATCCCGCCGCCGTTCCGGGCAGCCCCGGGCCCGCCCCGCCCCGCTCCCGCCTCCCCGCCCCGGCGGGACGGAGCGAAGGGCGGACGGGGCGAGGTCTGAGCGGCGCCGGGCGGAGGGAGAGCTGGATTCGTGGCGCCGCTGGAGAGAGGGTGAGTGCGGGCCAGCCTGCCCCGCAGCAATAGCCCGGGAGAGCGGCCCTGCCCCGGGGGGTGGCAGGGAGGTCACAGAACCTCGGGATGGTTCCGGTGGGAAGGGAGCAGCGGAGGTCATCTAGTCCAGCCCCCCTACTCAGCAGCGTCCTCCAGAGCACTGAGCAGGGTGTCTGGACAGCTGAGTATCTCCAGGGATAGGCAGTCTGACACCTTTTGGGGCAGCCTGTTCCAAGGCATGGTAAAGGTCTTCCTCATGTTCAGGTGTAACTTCCCTTGCTCTGTTTCTGCCCTTGCCTCTCCTATTGCTCAGCAGCCCCGATAAGAGCCTGGCTCCATCCCATCCGCTGACACATCCCCTTCACATCGATGTATTTGAGAATAGGATCTCCTTAGTCTGCTTTTCTGCAGGCTAAACAGGCCCAGCTCCCTCAGCTTTCCCTCATAAATGAGGTGTGCCAGTCCCTGATCTTCCAGGACACTTCCAGGCTATGTCTCTCCTGTCCTGAGGAGCCCAGAACTGGAAACACTTGAGGTGAGGTTGGACCACAACGAGTTGAAGCCGTCTCAGCAGATTGCAGGGGTTGGACTTGATGACCTTCAATAGTTCCTTGTACCTCAACCAATTCCGTGATTCCATCATCTTCCAGTCCTCACCCTCTTCCCACATCCCAGGCAGGACACCAGGGTCCTTCCATCCCACCCCAGCCTTGACTCCCAGCTCAGGCTCCTCTGCAGTCAGACACTCTGGGGAAGCTCCAGGTTGTGGTGACACGAGTGAAGACAGACAATCGAGAAAACAGAATGTGAAGTATTTTTTTTTTTATATACAGAATACAGGAAAGTTTCTGTAAAGTCTAAAACGTTACAATTACTATGTACAGTGGAACTAGCTGTTCTGCTGCGGGGAGGTGGCAGAGAAACAAAAGAGACAGACAGGTTACGACAAAGGATCTGCTACAATAGACAATTTGAGGAACGTCATACCACATGTAGCACTGTACACAGCTTTAA